TAACAATATCCCTTCATCCCCTATGCTGTACTATACCAAAACATGTCACTGAAATAAAGTAAAAGAATTCAACTGTAAGTGTGGCCAAAATAATTGGAAGGAAAAATGGGTGTTTACATTGATGTTGGCTCTGAGAGCTCAAATCTCTTTTGAAATTCTAGATATTAGGGAATTCAGTTTAGCGTTGCAATTTGAGGACGATGTATTAAATTGAAAGTTCCTTCTATATCACTTTTAACAACTTTCAATGTTGAATTAATCGTGCACACATATATGATATTGTGAGATGATAGATATAAGATCAGTTTGGAGGTAATAATAGAAGGTCAGGAGGGATAGGTAGCGAATTCAAGTGGTTTTTCTTTATCTCTGCATAGTAACCAAATAAATAAAACAATGTTTAGCCTCAATCGAAACCAAGAATCTAGAACCAGTAGAAGCCCTTCGTTAGTTGGTAGATTGAAGTGCAAGTGCCTGAGACAAGGAGGAGAGGGATAGGTGGGTTAGTGGATGACAAATCCACACCATCATTGTGGCCTTGTACTCTTGGAGACTGGGCTGTTCCAATTGTGCTACAATTAAGGGATACAAATTGATGCAATATGAATTTGTTGTGTTAGCAAAGTTCCTTTAGGGATGGATTTGTGGTGCAATATGAATGATACAAATTGATTTAACTAGGAATGGTAGGAAAAATAAGGGAAAAATAATGTTTGATATGAATATTCAGTAGATAGTGTTTTCAGGATAATATAACATGAATAGAAAAATATGGTTCAAATGGCTGAATATTCTATGCCATAGAATTCATCCATTATGGCAATACTAATTTAAGGATCCTGTTGTCAAATATGTTTGTTTTAAATGATATCAAAAGTGGATAAAAATTGAGGTGTAAATATACATGTTATGTTTTACTTCAATTTAGAAAGAATTATTAGAAGAAAACCTCAAATCCAACGCATACTGGAGATAGTACTTTTAAGTGAGAGTAATCATCACCTACAACCCGGCTTTGTAGGATTGTTAGGCCTAAACCATTTTGTAAGAAGAGCCAGAAGAGAAGCCATGTGATAGGAATTGGTATTTCAGTTATGGTAGATTGGTTTTTGCTAAGTGATATGTTGATTGGTTTAGCAACAAATAGTCATGTAATCGGGGTCCTTTGCTTGTTATTGATTTATTTTGAAGAGTTTGGAAAGAAACGTTGAAATTGCTCTCTGTTATATTGTTTTTACTTTGAAGGTGTGCATAATAAGCAAAGTGAGGAATTTTATTTTTAAAGTTCAAAGGACACCATTAAACATATTAGGCCTTTGTTTGATGATGCTCTACCAACATGAGAGTATTTCCAAAATTGGGTCATACTTATTCATTTCTCTGTTGCACACTTTTATGTTTTATACAGTTTACGGCACGTTTTATTACTGTCAGTGAAGAAAATTGGAATGCCAATCAAATTCCCATTGCAGTAGCTTATTGAATGGATGCTTCCAGTATTTAGGATTAAGTGGGAAAATATAAGTTTATTTCAAGCTATTTGAGGATCCAGATGTTGGGTAGTTTCTTCTGTTTGGAGTCAATAGGCTGAAAATATAAGGGTATCTACCGATTGACTCCTAGTTGAAGCTAACGGCGGTTTATATTGGCTACTGGCTAGATTTGAATGTGTCTCAAGATTTCAATGATCGCCTTTCCATTTGAAACGCCTGTATTTTCTTCCACTCTGGAAAATATCATGTTATGTCAGCCTAATTTTGAGATTCTAATCGTTGCAGAAAAGTTCAAAGTATCCCACTAAAAGAAATGGCAACTCTCCAGTCGTGGAATGTTGCTCACAATACACAGAAGCTGGAGAATCTGCAGGCGTAGCAATATCATCACTATCGGATGCAGTTACCACGAAGATATCTCTTAATTCAGATCTACTATTGAAAACTCTCAGGCTGAGCATACCAGAAACTTCACATGGTTCCAAAGATCCAATGACAAGATTGGTTCTTGGTGATCTGGACCCTGCAACAGCAAAATTGGCCATTGCGTTCCTAGGGCCCTTCCTCTCGGTGTTTGGTTTTCTCTTTATCTTGAGAATAGTCATGTCTTGGTACCCAAAACTCCCAGTGGGAAAATTTCCATATGTAATAGCGTATGCTCCCACTGAGCCACTCCTCATTCCTACCCGCAAAGTGATTCCTCCTCTTGCTGGTGTGGACGTGACTCCTGTGGTGTGGTTTGGATTGCTAAGTTTTCTTAACGAAATATTAGTAGGGCCACAAGGATTACTAGTTCTCCTTTCCCAGCAAGTCAATTAGCTTACACATTTGAAATTTATGAATGACGTAATTTCTTCCTCATTTTGTTGGAGAACATGTTTATAAAATTAATCACACCGGTATATTTCATACACCATACCACCAATGTCACCGCTTCCACAATTACCACCGTGCTTCACCGTTGCTGCAGAGGAAGAAGAAGAGAGGAAGAAAGCTGCACAGGAAAAAGAGGAGAAAATGCAGAAAAAAACTTCGGTTCGAAAAGGATTTTTCTGAAAATTCTATTTCAGAAAATTTATTCGGAAATACATTTCATATGTTTCGGAAATTTTGTTCAGAAAATCACGTTGTACAAATTTTGTTCCAGAAACATCGTTTCGGAAATTCCAAAAAGTTTCTTCCGAAAAATTTTCATGATTCGGAAATCACTTTTCTGGAGAATAAAATGTTCATTTTGAAAGTTTTGAGGGGTACAGGAAAAAAATTGTGGGGGCAGGAAGTAAAAGCCTTGTTGAGGACTTCACACACACATTGTCTATTGTGGTGCACTTTCCATCCGAAATTTAGATTTTAATAAGACCAAAAAGATAACAAACAATGTATGACCAACCCAAAACGATAAAATGAATAAATAAATACCATACTCTTTTTACTCTAACCTACACCAAATATACATTATATGACCACATCATGACTCAGTAAAATATACATTTTACAAATCAAAAACCGAAAAATACACCAACATCTCACAACAAACATTAAACTTTGAGTTGTCAAACACATTGACTTGACTCGGTCTGACCTACTATATCACTTAAAAAAAATTACATGAGAGAGATCCGGTCAATTTTTGAAACAGATGCTATTTTTTGTTTGGCAACCGTAAATTAGACTAATGGATTATTCAGCCCCGATTTAAAATATTAAAAAATAAAAAACAAATAAATTTGGATAAAGAGTAAGTATATATTTTTAAAATTTAAATCACGTCATTGAATTTATATTTTATGTACAATTATTTCATATATAAATAAATATAACCTATTATACAAGTATTTTAAATAAAAGCATTCATTTTTAAAACAGGTTAGTTCTTAAATTTCAGGATGGACCGACTTAAATATACTAAAACAAATAAAAGACAAGACTCCAAAATGCTTTAGAGAAAGATGAAGCCGCTCAAAAGGCATATTTGTACCTTTAAACATTATTGTGACATTTTAACAAACATTTACTGATGAGTGTTTCATCCTACACCTCCAAGATCTCATCCTACACCTCCAAAAATTCCAATTTTATCTTTCTGACATCTCATCATCATCATGCACCTCTAACTTTTTTAAAATTTTATTTTTAACTTTAATAAATATTTTTTCATTTTCTTTTCTTTTTTATTAAAAACAATCTTCACTACCTTAATAATAATTTAATTTAATTTATTTTAAAATTTAAATATTATTAAAAATAATTTTGTATTTTAATAATTATTAAAATATAATTTATATTATAATAATAATTAAATTAAAAACATAAAAATAAAATAATAAAAATAGTAATAATAATAAATAATAATAAAAATAAATTTGAGTTAATATATTCAAATATATTAAATTATAATAAAATATTAAAAATAAATTAAATAATTATTAAATTTTAAATAAAAATAAAAATTTTAAAAAGCTTATTTATATATTAAAATCTATAAAATATGTTAATACTTTGATTTTTATTTAAAATTTAATAAATATTAAACTTAAATAAAAATTATAATATTATTTATTATATTTTTATATTTTAATAATTAATAAAATATAATTTATATTTTTAAAATAGTTCTATTAAGAAAATTAAAAAATAATAACTAAAATAAGAATAAAAATAAAAATAAAAACAATACTTAAAATCATATTTAATATATTAAATTATATTAAAATATTAAATTAAATTTAATAATTATTAAAATTTTAAAAAAACAAAATTTTGAAAAATTTGTTAATCGGATATAGATATCCGATAAGTTATAAATCGGATATCCATATCCGATAAAGAATGTTTTTAAAATTTTATTTTATATATAAATTTTAATAATTATTTAATTTAATTTAATATTTTAATATAATTTAGTATATTTAAATATTTTATTTAATATAATTTTATTTATTATTTGATAAATAACTGTTTTAAAATTTTGTTTATTATTTAAATTTTAATAATTATTTAATTTAATTTAATATTTTAATATAATTTAATATATTTAAATATATTAAATATTTTATTTAATATAATTTACTTTTTTGTTATTATTTTTATTTTTAATTATTTTATTTTTATATTTTTAATATAATTATTATTATAACATAAATCATATTTTAATAATTATTAAAATATAAAATTATATTAAATAATATTTGAATTTTAAATTTAGTTATTATTAAGGTGATATAGAATCTTTTTAATAAGAAAAAGAAAAAAATAAGAATATATTTATTAAAATTAAAAATAAAATTTTCTATAAAGTTAAAGGTGTAAGATAATGATGAAATGTCAGAAGGTTAAAAATGAAATTTTTGGAGGTGCAGGATGAGATCTTGGAGGTAGATTCAGTAATGCTAAAGCCACATAACGGACTCTATGATCATGAGCCCAATTTCAAAGCAATTTACTATTTTCACCTTCGAAAACTCTTGCATACATACAATATAACAATTTCATTTTCAAAAGTTTTCCTAAATTAGTTGTAAATACCATACCTATTCTCCCACAGACAAAAGATTATTTCTTTCCCTTTATCCTCGCTAACACGGAAAACAAAACCCCAAATTCCCTCAATTAGGGTTCACTCCAATTTCAATTCCGAAACCTTCCATTCTTCCAATCCTCCAAATCCCAAAACTTCCCCTCTAACAGAGTCCTCAAATCTGACACGGCGAGCTCTCGCGGCTCGCGATCTCCGACAATGGCCATGTGGAAATTCCCACCCTCTCGCCACCGGTTCCTCGCAGCCGCGATCACCGTCGTTGCACTTTGCATGATTCTACCCATTTCGATGGCGAGTCAGCAGCCACCGCTAAAATTGTGCATCCAATCGACGCCGTCGTCGTGCCCCGTTAAGTGCTTCGTCGCCGACCCGGTGTGCGGCGCGGACGGCGTAACTTACTGGTGCGGTTGTGCTGAGGCAGCGTGCGCCGGCGTGGAGGTTGAGAGAATGGGTCACTGTGTAGAGGGGAATGGGGGATCGGCACCGATTCCTGGACAGGCTCTCCTCTTGGTGCACATTGTTTGGCTCATCTTGTTGGGGTTCTCCGTCTTGTTCGGTCTTTTTTAGTTTGACGGGGTTTGTGTATGTATCTTCCACCATCAGAGACGGTGTTATGGTTTTGGTTTTTTTTCAATTCTTTGAGGTTCTTTTGTAAATTAACCACACGGCTATTCTTGTATTGTATGTATGATTATTGCCATTGTTGTTATTATTGTTGTAATTCCATGACTTTCTTCATTGGTGGTGATGCACCTTGTTGTGAATTTAATTCGAATGCAGTTTCTATATATAATTGTTTGTTGGAATTGATGACCATAATAAAAAATAATGAGTTAAATTTAAGGTGATTTTTAACTGTGTTCCTTTCTAAGAATCTAAAGGATCCATGCCAAACTCATACTTGTGTCTCTTGTGTTTATGTTGCTTGTGGCTGTAGAGAGATAATTCAGAAGGGAATGGGGTCCCTTTATTCACCCATGGACTCATAGTTAGATGAATGTGATGAGATATTGTCATTTCATAACATATTAGGCCTTTGTTTGATAATGTTCTTCCAACGGGAGTGTTTGATTTTTATAGTTCAAAGGACAAGATTGAACATATTAGGCTCTTGTTTGATGTTGCTCTACCAACACGAGAGTATTTCTAAAATTATTCAATCATCATAATGTGGATTATTTTACTGCGGGATCATTTCTCGGTTGCACACATTTAGTTTTAATACAGAATACGACACATTTAACTGTCAGGGCAGAAAATTGGAATTTCAATCAAAGATCCATTGCAGCAGCTTATTGAATGGATGTTTCCAGTATTTAGGATTAAGTGGGCACATGTAAATTTATTTCTAGTTATTTGAGGATTCAGATTTAGGGTAGTTTATTCTGTTTTGAGTCAGGTGGTTTAAAAATATTAGGATATCTACTCATTGTCACTCCTAATTGAAGCTAATGACGGTTTTATTGACTACTGCCTGGATTTGAAAGTGTCTCCAAATTTCCATTATCCCTTTTCTCTTTAAAATCATGTATTTTCTTCCACACTGCAAAATATTATGTTAGGTCCGCATAATTTCAGATTATAATTGCTGCAGAAAAGTACAAAGTGTCCCTCTAAAGGAAATGACAATTCTCAAGTGGTTGTAGAATCTGAAGGCATTGCAAGATATCTCTTAATTCAGATCTTTTCTTGAATACCCTTAGGCTCTATTGGATTTGGATATTGGATTTGAAAATAAAGTTATAAAAAATTATAATAGAATTTATCAATGTGACATAGAAGAAAAACGATTTAATAAAAAAAATATTTTAATAGATAGAAATTAAAAATTATTAAAATGTTTGCAAAACTAATATAATAAAAACGATATAAAATATAATTGTTAATAATATATAATTGTAAAAATTATTATAAAAAAATAAAAGTTATTTTTTAAAATGAAAAAAAAATTGTATTTAAATGAAACGAAATAATTATTTTTAAAATATATTATTTTATGGATATAAGCTTGTGTTAGAATCGAATAAACTTCTTCGTGATTGTATCGTTTTAAATTATTTTTGAAAGGTAATATTGGCTTTTCACGGTAAATCTTTTCTTTTGAGCCAAAATCAAAAAACTCGCAAATCTTCTTCCTTTTCTCTTCACAAATTCATTTCAAAGAACGCATACCTGAAACTTCAGATGTTTCCGAAGATCTGATGACAAGATGGTTTTTGCTGATCTACCCTGCAACTGCAAAGTTGGGCACTTGGTTTCTAGGTTCCTTCCTCTCAATGTTTGGTTTTCTCTTTTATCTTGGTAGCCAAAACTCCCACTGGGAAATTTTTCATGTATAATAGCCTCTGCTCCCACTAAGTCACTCTTCATTTCTACTCGCAAAACGATTCTGGTGTGGTTTGGATTCATCAGTTTTCTTAACAAAATATTCCTAGACCACAGGGATTACTAGTTCTACCTCATTTTGTTGGAGTACATACATACAAAATTATTTGTGCGGGAAAAGGAAAGGAAAGACAATTGATAGGGTAATCAAAGATCTTAAAATAAACTAATTAGTTTGTCATCGTTTTAGTATAAAGAACAAATGTCACTGCTCACTAATCTTATAGAAATAAAATCAAAGCATATTTCAGTGCCACGGAAAATAAACCATTTGATAAAAATTCATGCCTTCAAATTGATTTCTTCTTTATTCCGTAAGAAAAGGGATGCATTTCTTTCTAGTACAATATTGTTCACTGTTGTCAATGACAACCCAACCATTTCCGGTCACAATGCTCCAGATATTTGTGGGCACTATGTTGAACGAAACGAAGCACTCATATAAGATCTCAGACCTGGCAATTGCTCTGTACTGTGTATTGTATGACAACCCAACCATTTCCGGTCACAATGCTCCAGATAGTTGAACGAAACAAAGCACTCATATAAGATCTCAGACCTGGCAATTGCTCTGTACTGTGTATTGTATGATGTGAATGGTAAAGAAAACGAAAACAAGGAAAATTATTGAAATGAGAATTAATATGCTGGATATTGAGCTTAGACATTTTATTGTCTAAATTGAGGGGGATCAGCGATAATACATAGTGCAGACAACATATTCAAGCATATGCATGCTTACAATAGCTCCAACGACAAGGCAAAGTTATTCAGCCCACACTAGAGATTTGCCAACAGCAAAAAAAAAATTATCGCCAAAATTATTATTGTACAATATATCTCTTCTAAGGGATTAAAGAAGCGCCCATGTGGATCTCCTCAATGCTACATCAACTATTTGGGCAATGAACTAGAAAACAAATTACAAAAGAAGCAATAGTAGTAGAAAGAATTTTAATATTCTGAATCTAATCTACAGCAAATGCTAGTATACAATAAGTTGTTGCTATCTGAACTGTTCATGAGTCTCTCTTTGTTATGAGGGCTGCATCTGATCTCGCCGAAGAGCCTGCTGGAGCTGAATTACCTGTTGTTGCTGCTCTGGTGGTAAGGAACTCAATTGCTCTGGTGTCAGATTCAATACTTGTTGCAGCAAAACAGACTCCACATCAGGAGGAAGCTGGGATGCGTAATGAAAACAAAATAATGAATATATATCCAGTACGATCGGTTACTATAACCAAACAAGATAAGGGTCCATTGTGGTAAAAAGAATTAAAACAAAACATTCGAAACAGTAAAAGTAACGTAAATGTAAATATGAAACATTTAAAAGCATTGTTTTCAGGCAAAGTTTGCTAGCCTAAAAGGTAGGGACTAAATATTCGATCATTTGAATAAAAGGTATAAGATGCGTTTTGCACTAACCATGCATAAAATCCCTCTCCTAATATGGAATTCAGATTACTACAGACTATATAAGCTTGTAACCATGGCAGAGTCATGTCATCATGATCCCTAAAGTACACACATGATCCGTTATACTAATCTCTAGTTCCACGCCAATTAGTGGTTACCAGACTAGTGATCTAAAAGATGGTTAAGACTCGTGGCGTAAACAGAGCATAGTTTTTTTGCTTATGATATTTCAAAGTTCAAAATAAAAGATAAGGAAACTTCACAGCATAAATACTGATTGCGTAAGTCAAATAATTGACAAATCTGAAAGTTCAGTTCCTACTAGATGCACCCCAATTAAATGTACCTGACCATTTGCAGATAATCTTATGTAAATTTCAAACTTCATTTAAGAAAACAGGCAACATTACACAATTCCGAAGTATTCTAGGAACCCTTTTTAAAGGTTAGACTATCTTTTTTAGCAACCAAATGAAAGACTATTCAAAATACTGAATCTCAAAAGAGATGACCTTACAACAACTTTTGCATCCAAAGTCAAAAAATAACAATGAATGTTTCGATAAATTCATAAGACAATAATTCACCTTCACATCTCATCAATGAATCACCAAGTCACATACATACCTGAGAAGATTGTAGCTCAGAGTATTGCCCTTCTGCTTTAGGAGTAGCAAGTACAGGCAATGAGCTTCTTCCAAGGGTATGAGACGGACCATCAGTGACAGGCACGTCTGACATCCCAGTAGAAAGGGGTGTACTCCTTCCCTCATCCAATTTCATGAGCTTTGATGGGCGAGAAAAAGATTCTGAAGAATCACGAACATTGTTTTTTTTCTCTACTCCCAAAGGCATGTTTGAATACGTTATATTAGAAGATTTATCACCTTTACTCAATAACTGAGAAGTAGACACCGATATGGAGGGACCAGGCTGTTTCAATAAATAAAGGTAAATACATTATTTAAAAATATGAGCATATAAATATAGAAATTGTAGCCAGCTACGCAGAAGTGACGAGAAAATAAACTTCTGCACACTATCAGCTACATAGCATCTCAATTTGAGAGCACAAAGGGATGCTCAACCAATGACTGGACATTTCTATGTACGGTAAATAATGTGAAAATACTACAAAATGTCAATGATGTTTCAATAGTAAGTTCTTCGATGTTTTTTTCTTCATTAATATACAAATGCAAGAGGAAAGAAAGTCCTCACAAACTAAAGCAAATAAGAAAGGAAAAAAAACTAAAGGGATGTACCCACCTATTTATAACAAAAAATACAAAAGGGGTACTGAATTTAGACTCTTTAATATTTTCATTTTAAAATCAACCCTGCTCTAGCAACTTAGGAAGGATATAGCTCCCTCAAAGGTTAAGTGTTTGGCTTGATTGGTAATACTTTAAATCAGTGTTGTTTGTTAAACTCACAAGTTAGCTTAGTTGAGAGAGTTTAGGGTTGAAAAACAAGCCAACTTGTTAGGAAAATCAGTCTATCATGGGTAGAATGAGCTGGTAGCGGACAAACTCAATTTTCCACATTGCTGCAGAAATATTTCCCATATTGGCCAAAAAGTATAAATATTCTATCTGCACTTTGATGGGGTATAGAGATATATCAGGCCTCCTTATGGTGCTAAAAAGACGTTTCTTCTTTGACAGAATTGCAGGAACGGAAAGCTTTAATGTGGGTTTCTCCTATTGTCTAGTTTTTGTATTTCTGATATCCTGTGCTACGGACATCTACTTTCTTTCTCTACTACAAAAGGCAACTAAAATAATAAAAAGCAATAACAAAGTGCAGAAAGCAAGAATAATCATCCCATGAAAAGAAAGGTGGGGCTAAACCAGCATGGTACGTCCTAATATTAACTTTTAATGCATGGATTTTTTTTTTTAAAGAAAAACATATCTCAACATAAAAGAATTAAAAAACAAGCAAAACTTGGCACCTGAAAGTTGGCATCTGGACGAACCATTTGAATATTATGTCCGACAGTTGAGTTTCCAACATGTGCAGAATTTTGTAGCAAAGAGACATGCATTTGCTGGTTTAGAGCAGTTGAAGTTGTCGGTTGAATTGGAGGCCTGACAGACAAACTTCCCAGACCTGGGCGCAAAGAAGGAAGTAATAAATTAGGCTGCCCTGACAAAGTTCCAGGCAGTACAGGGTTGTTTGGATGTTGTTGAACGGGAATTCGGGGCTGCACTGGAGGCTTTGGATGAGCAGTTAATTGATTAGGAGCCAGAGGATTATGAAGTATGGTGTTGACTTGGCCTTCTTGAGCATAAGGTGTCAAACCAGACTGCAATTTGCTCTGCCCATGAGGAGGAAGGCCTGGCAGAGTTTGAACCAATGGTGGCTGAGCCAGCTGACCTTCATTCATTAAAGACTGTGAGGGTTGATCTGAAACCAGCCTAAGGTTTGGCATTTGTAACTGCAATAATTATCATGACAAAAAAAATTAGTGATCTAGAAGGAGCAAGTTTAAGGAACAAAAGTCTAAGTAGTCTAATATAAATTTAACGCTAATTTGATATAACATAAACCCTGAATGATCATATTTAGGTTTAGGGCTATTTGGTTTTGCTTCTGTTGATGTCATATAAGTCCTAGAGTCATCTTATTAATTTTATAATTAAGTATTTTAAAGCTTGTCAGCAACTGAGCTTCCATGTCTTTTCCCTAAGTTGTTTTAGTTATTTGAGCTTTATTTATTAAGGGTAAGTTATTAATCTTGAGACCTCCAGTTTCGGAATATTTGCTACCCAAATTTTGTCTGATCCACAAATACAATTGGCGTATACAGCTTCCATGAAATCAATTCCAGATAACTCCGACTACCTAGACAAGAAAGATAATCAATTGCTTAATAAAGTCTATTCCCTTTCTCTTTCTCAGTCTGCCTAAACATATTGTTCTCCACAAGGCAATATATAAAATAGTATAAAAAAAATTAAAAAAAAAAATAGCTGTTAGTTGTTTCCAACTGTCCCAGAACACACTAGCTGTAATCTACAAGTTAAAAGGCTCAGTTCACAGCCTTGGAAGTTGGGATTTATAGCAACCTAAATCAAATTATAAGTCCCAAATGACAAAGATTTGGCATAAAATATAAAACAAATGAACATCAAGCAGAAAGATAGTGAAACAAACCACTTGGGAAGACACCATTCCTAGCATTATTTGAGCCTGCATATAAAATTGTGAACATAATGATCAAAGAAATTATCCAAATCATATACAAATAAATAGATCCACAAAAACCCCCAAAGGTAAATTTTTTGCGAGTTGAAAATATTTTGGATGGTATAGAACACATCACAAAGTATAATCGAAGGAAAGAGTGATCAGCTAGACGTTAATTGTCAAAATAAAGATAAAGTAGCACACAAAATTGAAAGATTCTAAATTACAGCCCACACAATGAACATTGATATATTTTTTTTAGACTGTAATTCTATGGAAAGAGAAATAACAAGTCAAGGATAAGGATTAAGGAATACTTCAAAAGAAAACAGAATGAAAGAGGTTGATAGCAGGAGTCAAGTACTATTAACATACAATGTAACCATGACCTACACAGCCATGACTAACTCTATTATGAATCATGATTTTGGAGGTAAATAGTAGGCTGACTTTTCCAACTTACGGAATGTGTAAAATGACAAGAAAAAGGCCACAAAACTAGCAAATCATGCAAAAGCAGCATGTGTATTACACGAACTATGTCCTGTTGAACTCTAGTCACCAAATGGATTGGCCTCCCAATTAGTGCAAAACAAAAACTATACCTTCCCTCCTCCAAAAAGTTGTAGCAAAAGATAGAAAAAGTTATGTATCTCCCTACCAGACATGCCATGATCCAGTTCCATGAAGCAGACAGATTTTACAAAACTGCTATGAATCAAGTATAATACCCCAAAAAAAAACTCATAGTTCAGCTGCATTTAAATTGAAAAATGAGAAAAGGTCATCCAAAAAGTCATTTTATATACAAAAGTGTATCAGTCAGATGTAAACTGTTCTCCAGTCTCTACTACTCAACTATCTTATTTTGCATGATCTCGTTAGTTCATTTCTAACAGTCACATGTGGTCAGATCAATGAACTTTCTGGTATAGCCACCATAATGAATATCTATATCATATGAGCACATGTAGAAACTAAAAAGAGACAAGTTTGTCATAAAAGAATGCTGTGGTAGAACAAATTCACAGGGGAATTGATATAGGAGAAATAGTACACACCTGGAAAAGAGCCTTGGGCAAATGTGGCCTTGAAAGCAACAGCTGGCGAGCCAGATCCTTGTTTTGTGTAGCCATTCCCTGCAATCATAACAAGAAACGAAATGATCAACCAAAGAGAAAGTTTTCTAGGGAAGTGAAGGTACCCATAACCAATAGTTACCTTGAGTTCAGATATCATCTCCGTAAGCTGACTCCTGGACATTTTGGCCAGATGCAGGGTTAAAGGATCATGTGCCAATGCTGACTGACTCTGCAAACTATTTTGATTTGACTGGATGCCAAACTGAGCACCGCCTAGAGCTGCTGTCATGACAGTTGCAGCTGTTATGGCAATATGAAGACCAATAGGCTGATGCTGAACAGCTTCCCCAGCTGGGCCACCAACTTGTTTCTGAGGGTCTTTAATACAGAGGAGAAAATGAAAAACACAGGATAAAAAAGGCAATGCAGTGATTAAATGTGCAAAATTATTTAGTACAGCATAAAATAATAGCAAGAGGAAAACAACTAACCAACATTTGTTGTCATTCCAGGCCCACCACGACCCTGTGACAAAAAAGAAAAATAAACAATTTAATCTGTAATAAACCAACATCCAGTACTTGCTTATGCGTGACATGATTTAATTGGTCAAAAATGAAACTATCAAGTAAAAGAAATTGAACAATGTGAGCGAAATACTTGTATGAGTTAATATGTATTTCCCTTTTAGTTTCACATTGATTAAACTTTGCATTTTGAAAAATATAAATATAAAGAAGACAACGAATGTCCAATTATTCGTGAGTGTATGGGTGCATGCCATATCAATGGTGACTCGGTGCTATCTTTATAGTAAACATGACAAAGATTCGGAAGAATAACTAGTCACTATTTCAAAAAAATTTGATAATATACCTGTTCTCTATTTCTGTCAGTCCCTTTGTCATTTTCGGCAAAATCAACACGCAATTGCCGGCCATTAATTTCATAACCCTGAAGATTTCGTCGAGCGCTTAAAGCTGTTTCTTCATCCTTATACTCACAGAATCCATAACCTTTCGGTTTCCCGGTTTCCCTGTCAATAACTAATCTGCAGATAAAAGATGGGAAAGCTTCAAGTCTTCAACCAAATAAAACATTGGTCAAGAAGCAAAAAGGAAATTCCAAAAAATTACAGAAAAATCTCATAATGAAACTTGTCCCTTAAAACAGACTTGGAAAGCAACTTCTAGCCACAACTATTGATTTTCTTGCATAAACTTCTTCATAAGATCTTATAAGAAGAGAAGCTTATACACCTCAAATTGTGGGATAAACTCATTTCATTTTTTCTCACCATTTTTCTCTACTGTAAGTGCTTATAAGAAACTAATGCCCTATTTCCAGGGTGGGAGAAAATACGAATTGTTATAACAAAAAAAATAAACCTGAAAAAAAAAAAACTCATGAACAGCTAAGAACTTTTTTCAAAGTTACCTGAATGACACTACTGGGCCAACCTCCTGACAGATTTCGACAAGCTGTTCCTCTGTGGCATCATACGGTATATTCCCAACTACAATAAAATCACAACAATTGTCATAACCCAACAACCAACGTGCATGAATTACAAAAATTCCAATCTGATTGAAATTGACAGCATCCAAGGTTGCAATAACAAGAAGCCACAAAGATAGAAAATTTAAAGATGAAACTAATTCGATTTCCCATTTCTTTAACACCCAAATGGTCAATAACCAGAAAAACACGAAGAAGGAGAGGGAGGGGATACCGAAAACGCAGCGATGCTGGGACTGGGAGGTGGCCATGAAATCAACAGCAGAAGAAGAAGGTGAAGCGCTGCTCCATCTTCTTCCTCTTCAGAACCATAATTTGTTGGGGAGAGACAAAGAAACTCCGCGTTTCGATTCAATCTTCTTCTTCTTTGGCAAAGACACTATTGTTGTGTTAGTGAAAGGGTTTTTGTTTTTGTTTTATAAATATATAAATGATAAATAAAAACTCTGGCACACCGTTCTTTATGACTAATACTAATATTCGCAACCCATTTTGGTTCTAATTTTAATAGAGATTTTGTGAGACGGGGAACAGCTTTTTTTTATTTATTTATTTCTATTCCGCCTAAAAAAAATCCATAAAACTTTTAATTAAATTTCAATGCCATTATAATGATCAATAAATTATAAAAAAAAATTGTAACTTTTATTTGCAGATAAAATATTTCAATCGTAATTTTTGTTGTTAAGTTGTAATTAAATTTAAAATAAAAATATCTGGAATCATACTTTCCTGTTGTTGTTTTTGTTTAACTTATATGACACTTTAAAAAGAGTAAATTCCAAAGTAAGTATTATAAGATAAAAAATCTAAATAAAAAGTTTGTTAAAGAAACTAAAATTTAATATTTTGTTCTTGATAATTTTGTACTAAAATTTAATATGGGTGAAAAAAAATGAAAGTGTAAAAGTGTGTGAGGGTTTGTTTTCATAAGAAAAACAAAATGACTGATGAATTATTTGCTGTTAAGTTATACAGACGTATTTCAGTATTCCAAGTTCTAAATATCATATTATCAGGCATTTATTATTTTTATTTTTTCGAGTATTGTGTGAGAACCTTATATATTTTGATTGTGTAGTATTTATTTTACTTAGTTTTTATTTAATAATTATCAGTCAACTTTTTTATTTCTCAAATTACTAACTCCTAAAAAATTTATGTACATATTTTTTCTAACTATATCAATCTCTTATAAAAAAAAATTTCTTAAAGGAATTCTTCTAACTCTGGGTATTTCAGTTCCAACTTCAACAACTTTATGAGAGTTACATCAAGATACGGTGCTTCGATAAATAAATAAATATTTATATTGTTGACTTGGTCTAACCTTATTACAGTTTAATGAACTTTTTTGTCCACTTAAAAAGTATAAAAAATGAAAAGTAACTATTTATTTCAAAAATTAGTTATATTTCTGAATTTAAATTTTAGATGTAATTATTTTATATAAATAAATATAAATTATGATGCATATACGTGTTTAAATAAAAAAAATCAAAAATTATTCAAATATTTTTAATTTTAAAATTTATAATTCATATATGAGATTTTTTTTAATTAAAATATGATATAGAAGTTACATTAAGTTAACAAACTTCTTAAATAAATATTACTTTTATTTTTTTTAAAACTTATTTATTATTGTTATTTTTTTAAACTGTCAACTCTACTTAAGTTAACTGAGAGTCAAACTAATAGGTAAAACATTGGTTGATTTAATTTAATTCACAATTTTTCAGTTTGAGACCCATTTTGTAATTTCTTTTGGTTCAAGTTTATTTTGACAATTTTAAAAATAACACATATAAGCTTATTTGACATCACTGAAAGTCTGTCATTGTATGATATTATTAAAATTTAACAAGTTTGATAACTTTGGTATCATTGTTACTTGAATCAAAACTGCTTCATTATGAAGTGTCACCCTCTTCAAATACAGTGCAAAACATACGAAAGAGAATAAACATGTAGTCACCCATGTATAGCTCATTTGTGTGAAAGAAGAGAAAAAAAAAGAAAAATGTTTTTTACAACTTTTTTTTAATTCTTTTACAATGATGGTTTGTGATTTGTTAGTTTCAAATATTTTTTTCAAATAAATTCAAACGCATCAATAAAAAAGTGATATGTAAATTATTGTCAAAAGATCGAAACATGTATAATGTGACATAGGGAGAGTTTGCATACATTAAATATTATGAAGTATAAACACAACTAATCAAAGTTACCAAATAACATGAATCATTTCATAATCAAAGAACAATTTTATCTTTAACATTTGAAATAGTTAAGATTCAAAGTGCAAATTAGAAGTCTCATATTAGTCAATAATAGACAAATTAAGTGATATATAAGAAAAAATATTGAAAATGGTGTTGTTGATTTTTTTATTTGACTTTTCTCGTGATTAATTGGTGTTAAATCTCTTTAATATATTTAAAAAAAACTTAATAATAGTACCAAATTAATGGTTTTGATAACTAGTTTGGATAAACACACCATAAAAGATGATAAATCCTAAATTTAATGAATTTTTTGTATTGAACTTTTTCTTTATAAAAGTTTTAGATAAATATGTTCGTTTTGGATTGGACTCTATACTTTGTGTCTAAAAAGTTAAATATAATAAAGTCTATGTCTCTCACTTAAATTAAATGGATAAAGGATTTGAGATTAATCAAGAGAAGTGTTATTTTTGTAAAAAGAAAAAAATATTGTTAACATATTCACAAAGTGGATAAAATTATGGTTTCTTCTCCGTTCATGGTTACATTGGGTTGAAATTTTGATAAAGATTCGTAGAATATAATTTTTTATTATGACCATTTAAATTGTCATTAGAGATTTGGGATTAGAGAAATCAATCTTACATTGTTACTCTATTTAAATTTATATTTCTTTATTTTTCATATTTGAAAACAAAATTACTTTCATACCTGATTATAGACATTTGTGTGTATTTTTAATTTTACTTTTTTTTATTCGTATTTGATCCCAATAGTAATTGATTTAATGGCCTGTATCGATATATTTTTATTTCTCATATTAAGAGAATATTTTTTATGTTAAAAATAGTTGTAGTGTCTTTTGTGATTATTGTTATTTATAGATTTTTACAATTCACTCGTGGTTATAATTCCTATGAAAAAAAAAACATAGTATAATGTCCTAGGATTTTTTATGCAAATTGTTCGGAGTTATTAACTTCCTTTCCTCTCTTTTTTTTCGTTTTTTGAGTTGTTGTTTTTTCATAAGTTTATAAAGTATCTTTGGTTGAAATTTAACATTTCAAAAAATTATTTCAAATTTAGATTAAACTAAATTAGAATGTATTTTCAATATCATAATAATAACGATAAAATAATACTAAACTAAAATATATATATATATATATATATATATATATATATATATATATATATATGTGTGTGTGTGTGTTTGTTTCTATCACAATTTACTTTTCATTTAACATTCTTGAGATTAATAAAATATTTTTCGAGTCATTTATTAGCTAGTATTATATGCGTCAAAATATAATAAAATTTTTATATTTAGTTACATATATTCAACTAATTTACTGGAGTGTGATAATAGACACATATATGGTTGATGTTACAAAAATATTGCTAACATTAACACATTTTATTTTGAGGTAATACATCTAAAAACATGTTACTGTAGTTCTTGAAGTGTTGTTTGAGTTTCTTGATTGGAACATGTGTCATTCAAAAAGAGTTCTTCCTGCACCGTCTCAATGAAAACATAAACACTTATTAACATCATTTATTCAACAAAACTTCAAACTCTAAGATCTAGGTCTAAAACTAGGTATGCTTTTAACATTGGATAAATTCCCACATCAAGCTGCATTGGAAATTTTATTTTATTTATACATTATTTTTAGATTATAAAAAGTTCTTTTTCTTTTTCATTTTTGATATTATTTATTGGAACTTATTTAAATAGAACCCTAACAGGATATACTAAAATTTAAAATATACATCTAAAAAGTATTTCGTACTTAATAATATTTTTATTTCGACATTTAGTTTTGTTTGCAAATATTGCTTAATCAATTAAACATTTGTAAATAGTTTTAATTGAATAAATTTAATAATCATTGCTAAATAAAGAATAAATTTATGACAAAAGGAGAAATTAAGTGACAAACACTATAGATAGCTTGAAGAAGTAACACTACATGGTGAAATTTTATTACAAAATATATGATATTTGTGGCATCCCAAATATATAATAATCACAATCATATAACTTAAGTGTCCACATTTCAATAAAGAGAACAGTCAAAGTAGAATAGTAAACTTAAACGGTTTAGAGTATTTCAAAATAACACCAACTTAAAATTAGAAATCCTAAAAATACTATACTGCATCATCAGCATCCTCCAACTCTTGCTCCAAGGAACCTCCTCAACAATTTCTGCTCCCATCCAAGTGGATGATCATCGCAAAGGAAACATACACAAGCAGCACACAACAAAGAAGATAAACAAGCAGTAATCATATAGTTCAATCAATAAATATCATCGTGCTTAGCTACATATAAAGAACAATCAAGACATAACACTTTAAACCATGACTCAAACACTCACACGACTCATCCAGATTGGTATAACTGTCGAACTATTGGTCGTCTTTGCACTTGCGTAGTTCAGCTGGCACTCCCCAACACTATGCAAGGTAAATCCTCCATCTGTCTATGTCTAAACTCTAAGACTATAGACGAGAACCTCCCTCTACTCTCACCACTTACACTACTCTCCTATATTTAAGCATGAACAGTGCTTCGAGTGTAGGGATATACATATCATTTCAAAGCTCCATACAGTTATACAAAACAACAACAACACCCCACACATCTCTTTCAATCATCTCATCCTGAGATGTCCACTTCATACTCAATTACATCATTGTAGTTCACATTCATATGCTTTACAACCACTCAACAACACCATACATACATCCTGGCAGTCAAACAACATCAATCAATCCAAACAGAAGAAGAAAAAGGAGTGAGATCCCCTCCATGCACCAGTTTACGTTCATATATATATATATATATATATAATATCATGGTTCTTATTTGGTAAACTACTTGTCTAATTTTCATCATAGTAGAGATCTTAATTTACCCCAATTGGTCACCGAAGAGGGTTCAGATGTCTGAACGCATCAGACTCACCTTCGGCGCTAGCACATATGACTAGTCACAACGTACTGGACTAGACCAGGGCTGCTCTATGATCAGGGATGTGCCAACTCAGGTTTTTAAGTCCCCTCTATCCTACCAACAAAAAAGGCTTTTAACAAGTTATGATTTAATTATCTAAGTTATTAAAACTGTCCTATAGTGTTCTAGACATCAAATACCCAATTATATATATCACCCTT